TGTACACCTCCTCGAAACCAAAGTTACATTCTTGTGATAAGAGAAGCACACACACAATGATTTAATAAGCATTCTGTGAGATTGTGAAGATTATATTATTAAAACTTATCCTTTTAAGTGCATTTAATGAAAAATAGTGGAGTGTTGCAGACAACTTGATATTCCACTGTGTAATCAGTTTCTTTCCCTTGGTAACTCCCTTGGAGCAGAGTCGTGCTAAGCACAACTCCCCAGAAGTGCATGAGTGAAGTAATGAGTGAACACGTTACAGCCATATGAAGGTTATACTTTTATCTCACAATGCAATGTCTTGTTAAAGTAACAATTTCCAAACTATGTTAATGCTTTAGCTATATAGCAACCCAAAAACTTCAATATTTCACAAGGCTAACAGCTAAAGTGGTTCAGGGTTCATATTGACCCCAAACAAAAAAAAACCCAAAACAAAACAGTTAACTTTGAGTGCAGAAAGACACAGTCCTTGGTAAAGATTTACCTGGACAGCAGTGTAATGCCACTGGTATGATCGATTATTATTACAGGCTGTAAATTTTTGGTGAACATTGAAAACAAAAATGCCAACAGCAGAGTCATTTGCCAAAACCTAATTTTTAAAATTTAATTTCCTCACCATTGCCTTGAGATTTTTCATACATAAGTTGGTGTAGATCTCTCTCTCCAAACTCTTCAGCATGGTTGACAAGTGCCTCCTTCACCGTCTTGTATCCTGCCAGGACCACTACTTTCTTTTGTCCCAGATAGACAGTGAACACTGACCCATATTTCTTGGAAAGCTACATTATGAGCAGGGGCATAAGGTCATAATCTCTTTTGTTTGACACAAACAGCAGGAAGGAAAGGTGAAATACCTAAACTAAACACAAACTAAATACAAACCTACTCCTGCCAATACTTCACCTGCAGTAATGTTATGTGGGGTTTCTTCAGGTCCAGTTGCAGCAGGTTCCCCAGCAGGGGAAGTGGTCTGGGTCCTGGTGGATCCTTTTCTTCCACTTTATTGAAGCTGAAAGAGGAGACAATGTAGACAAGAAGCAGGACCGCCAGAGTCCCCAACAGGGAGACAGAACTGGAGGACTGGAGAAGAACATCTAGTATCCCCATGACTTTATAAACAATCTGTCTTTATTCTGCCAGTTCAAAGTCTCCTGCCTTGTTACTTCTGGACTGTGGATGTGTTTGGGACAGTGATATGTGTGTCTGTCAGTTGAATAAATACAGTCCAAGAGGTGGGACAAACCAAGAGGTGGGACAACACATCAAATGTCATTGACCCCTTTTTTTTATTGTGCTTTATTTTTTTATTCATCAGAGATCATTAAAACTGCCATAGAAGAATAAACCTGTGGCAAAGCTTTAACTGAACTCGTTCATTATAACCAGAGATTCACATCTGACACTTTCTTAGGTTTTAAATGTCTATGTTTTTACCATGAAAAATAAAAGCTATATAAAAATAAATAATTGGTCTAGTAGGCTTTTATCGTACATGCACATCCATTATTGTGAATATACACCTCATACCTGACAATTCACAAAATTACAGCAGCACTCCCTAATCTTAATCTTTCACTTCTTTGCAGATGTACAACTCGTGGATTGACCGATTTCTGAAGGAATGGGATC